GGATGACAAAAATATTTTTTTTGGGGAAAAAAAACAAACATCGTTTATTTTTGTTAAACAACTATTATTATAAAAAATTGAATCCAATTATTTTTATTTATTTTAAAAAAGAATCTCCCATATTTTGTTGCATTATCAGTTTCAATAATTTTATAACTAACTCTCTTACTTTTATAACTTTCTTATTTTATGAGCTTTTATATTAATTTTTTTTTAAAAAAAAATAACTGTTTTTAATAAGAAAATTAATTAATTTTATAAATTTAATTTTTGTGATAAAATTTACATTTCGCTAAAAGAACATTTTTTAAATTGCTTTTTATTCTCTTTGCACTATATTTTACCTTGGATAAAAATTTATAAAATTTTCTTTTTTTTATCCCTTTATTAATACCAAAAAAAAACAGACATTGTTATGAAATTTATTTATTAAATTACAATGATTTTAATATATACGAAATATGTGGTTTTATTGATCTTAAATTGATATTAATTTGGATAATTTTTTTCAGTAAGATATTTTTTTTATATAAAAATATTTCGTAGACTCACAATTTTAATTGACCTTAAAATCAGACCAAAAATTTTTATTTTTATTAAAATTACAAGACTTTACATATAAATATGTCAACTATTAACAAAAACTATAAATAATGATTATAATTGTATTAATAAAATTTATGATTATTAAAATGATTCCTTTTTTTTTAAAAAAAAAATATTTTGCCAGTTTATAATTTAGTTACTACAATTTTTCCCATTTATAAACCAGAAAATTTAAACGTATCCTGTAAGGCCATTTCCAGACAAAACGTTTTTTCAAAGCGGTTTTTGGGTAATGTTACCAGCAATCATTTTTTTTTATATAACAATCTAAATTTAGTGTTGTTAAATGGCTCGATTTGAGCCGATTTTTTAAAAGGGCTAACTAAACATTATAGCCAGGAAAATATACCTAAGCGCCGAGATTTCGTCAATAGATGTTCAATCCTATGTGTCATATATGAGCAAAATCTCTAGGCTTGCACAATATTTTTCTGGATAAAATATTGAGTTAGCCGTTTTTATAAATCGGCTCAAATTGAACCGACAACACTATCTAGATCCCCATTATTTTAATCGTAAATGCAAACTGGTTTGATTTTAATAACGATTAAATGGTGTTTTAAAATGTGGCACTGGACTGTATTTTTTTAAAAAAATATTGTATTATATAAAAAAAATTCTAGAATTTAACATTTTCTTGGGAAATAAAAAAAAATTGCTGATAACATTACCCAAAAACCGCTTTGAAAAAAGGTTCTGTCTGGAAATGGCTTAAGGATTGGGGTAGAAGAATACACGATCTTGATCACGATTTTAATTTTAGCAAATTGTCTGGATGGACAATTTTCTTTTTTTTATAGAGAATGGGGACATTAATGGCAGATTGATCCAATCAAATTTTTAAAGGCTGTATCCAAATAACAGCAAAAATTAAATTCGAAACTTTCGAATTTTTTTTTAGTGAAAATAAATAAATAAGTGAGCCATTTTAAATATAAAAATAAAAATATGTCATAAAAATAATTTATAGAAAAAATTTTAATTTCAAAATTTTTTTAACATATTGAACATTTTAAAATTTGCGAAAGTTTTGAAACTTTTTGAATTTTGCTTAAATTATATGAGATTAATATTTTATTTATTATTATTAATTTCATGAAAATTTAGGAAATTATATCAATACTAATTCAGTAATCGTGATTCGTGAAATCATTAGGGTATTTATTTTACGCTTTGTCCAACCAATTAGAAAATAATTCCAAAAGTTTAAAAACTTGAGCAAATTTTAAATTTTTAAATTTTAATGAAATCGAATGTTAAATTTTTAAAATTGTAAAATTTTATTTGAAATATATTTTGTTTTTGTACATGTTTTTATTTATATATTAAAAATAGCTTATTTATTTATTTTCATTAAAGTTTCGAAACTTTATTGATAGCAGCTGTTAAATAAACCATAGTTCAGGATAAAGGGATGAGAAAATGAAATTACAAATCATATTAGGGCTAAGTCCAAAATTTCAAGGGTAAAAGTTCGCTTCACAAATAAAATATTTAAAAATTGACCCTGATATCAAGATTGTTTACTCGCTAAAGTGTTTAGACAGGTTCAATTCGGATTTCTTTCAAGGTAACATTTTTTTGAGCCAGGGTCCCTGGGCTTACTAATCAATTCTTTTTAGTCAGGCTATGGGCAGAGCCTAATTGATTATTCTAAAGATAAAATTCTAAATTACTCAAAATCTAAATAAACTTTTTTTTAAAAAAATCACTTAATAAGCTAATTGTTCTATAATAAAATATATAATAATGTTTCAATTATAAAGATTATGTGCATTACTGTTAAATGGCTAAATTTTAGCCGATTTTTTAAAAACGGCTACCTCAATATTTTATCCAGAAAAATGTTACGCAAGCCTAAAGATTTTGGTCATAGAGGGCTTAGCTAAATCTTGAGGCTTAGGCGATATTTTTCTGGCTAAAATATTGAATTGGCCGTTTTTAAAATGCGGCTCGTATTGAGCCGTTTAACAATATAAATTATGTGCATTTAAAGTCTATGTATAGTATAGAATATAGCATTTACAGGTGTGTAAGTAACGTTTACGAAGATCTGTGATGTTGCTTATGCATATGACAGTACTGATTGCTAAATGGCATATAAAATGTTTTATATTTATAGACATTTTTGTTTAGGAAATGAAATTTTTAGGACTAATTAGCTGGGACCGAATAGCACGTAAAATAAGAGCAGCAGATCTTATTTTAAAATGTCTAACTAAAATCAAATACAAATGCCTTAGCCAAAGAAATTATTGGCATTTATTAAAGGGTGAGATACTGATTATATTTTTTAAGTTATATATGTATTTGCAAATACATTTATTATAATGATGTCATGTTTGTTTTTTGGAGAATATAGTATAATTGATGAAGAATAAAAAAAAATAATTAGAATTATTGGTTGATCATAATACAGTGCTAATTTTTTTAACTCTCAGTATTCGTGGAGAAAAGCATAAGCATTGTGTGCATGTTTATTGAAAATAAATTTTTCCGTGACAGCTGCTGCAAAAGGTGAAGGAGATTTTCAGAATATTTTTAAGCTAAAATTTAAAAAAAATGTTTTAGCTTTGCTAAAAATATCTTAATTAGATTTATTTTATGGTATCGACCATAGCACAATATGTGGCCCTTCAGCAAATATACTTGGAGCCTTAAATAACTTGGAAACAAATTCCTATACTTCAGGCCTCCCACTTAATATAAATAAAACAGAACTTTTCTATTTAAACAACCACCCAATATGTCAAGGCTCTCCACTTGAAAATAACATCAAATTTGAAGAATTTCTAGAAAAAAATTTAAAAAATTTTTAATATCATTTCCTTCTACTGGCTCATCGTTTCTTTTCCTAATTCCCAAATGTCTTAACATTCTAAAATATTTAAATATATTCCGATCTTCATCCCAATCTATTCATGATTAAAATTCAGTACAAATTCAAAATATTATTGAAATTTATATATTGATTTACTCCCAATCAACTGGTCACTCGCCTAATAACCTGCTAAATCGGGTTGATTTAGATTTCGTTATGCTTAACCTTTTCGTTTTATCATCCTTCTTATCATACAGATTAATAACCAACTCTATGATCTCAGGCTTCATATTCCCCACAGAATTGGATTACGCAACTAACAGAAGATGGAGGCTAGAACACTCCCAATCCCAAACACTCCTTTCCCATCAATCCTCGCCCATAAAAGGCAACTTTCAAATAACTATATCTGTCAGTCCAGTTTAAACTGTATCCAGCTTCTCCAATCAGAAAAGAGATTTGGTGGTAACAATGGCTAGAACTACTCCTAAGTCAAAACCTTGGTAATCTCTCATCAAATAAATACAGAGTCGCCATTAATATACACCTGGTGTGCGTTCAGCCTCACACTTGTGTAAAATGTAACACTCCAGTAGATTCGAAAAGTAGACACATTCATTTATATAGTCAAGGGATACATCAATGCCACACTTTAATAAATAATGTTATTAATAAATGTTTAACATCGTTCAAATACCTAACCATCTTGAGCCCACCAACTTATACCCTGGCAGAGTGATTAAGACCTGACGGAATGTCTATAATTCCTTGATCACTTGGTAAATCTTTATTACTATACTTGTGCCTCATCATTTCCTTCCAACACTAACATAAATTTCTTTACAAGTTTAAACAAAAAAGATTAAAAATACAAAGATTTCAACAATTTTATATTTACCCCAATAGTAATGATCACTTTTCGCCTAAAACTTTTACAGATCCTAAGCCTCAAAATTCGACACTTACCAACAAGGTTAGGAACTCATATCTCACAAAAATTGAATATTCCCACATATTTGTGGCACCCTTTTGAAACGTGTCGATATTTTTAATTAATTATATTATAATATATATTTTAAATATATTTTTATTATATTTTTTTATAACTTTTTAAATAGTTTCATATAAATAAAGATAGATGCACTTTAAAAAAAATTTTTTTTTCATTGATTATATATATATATATAAATATAACAATAATTTTAAATATGGTTTTATTTTACAAATATTATCATTATTTTTGCAAATTAAATAAATTATACCAAATCTAATTTTTTAAATATAATGGGTTAAGTTTCATCAAACAGTGAGAACCCGAATTTACACTATATTATAATCAACTTCCATGCTTTTAATAAATTAAAATTTAAAAAAAATGCCCCATCGAAAAAACAAATTCTGTATTTTTTTATCTGTAATTTTTTAAAAGGATCGGTAACGAAATTCCATTCTTTTTTATCGAAAGGAATGAGAACGGGATGGAGATATTTATACGACCCTGCATAAAAACGAATTTCTTAATAATAATAAAGAATTAGAATATTATGATAGAATGTATTAGCTTGACACTAACCTAAATTGTCAGGTAAATCTGGATCGACGTTGTGTTTGACCAGAATTTTAATGATATCATTTCTTTGTAATTGACAGGAATAACTCAAAGCACTTCGCCCATAGTTGTCACAAGAGTTTACTTTAGCACCAAATTTGAGTAGGAGTTCGATTGCTTTTTTCCTAATTTTATCGTCCTAAATAGAAAAGAGTAGTTTTATTTATTGTAAGTTAGAATATAATTATGCAAGTTTAAATAATATCAAAGGATACAGTTTTGCAATGCTTAAAGGGAGAATTGATATTAAGTTCAAGCCTTATAGGGTTTACAAATTGAACAGTGGAGTTTAGCGTTGTTTTTCTATAAAACGTTTCGTGGTTCTGATAGAAGTATTATTTTTAAAAAAATGAAAAACGAGCCTTAAAGCCTTATTCGAAATATGAAATCCATATTCCAAAAACAAAGCTTCTGATCTAAATCTACCATATAAAACAAATGTTGAAACTAATTAAACTTTAGATTATAAAAAAAATAAGCCACCACCTTTTGAATCTTTAGATTAACTTTAGAGAAAGATTCGTAAAATATAATGGCCCTTAATCCAGCAAGAAAATATCAAGTTGACGTTTGATTAATGGAAAATGATATTGTGAAGGTGTTACGCAAGAATAGATGACCAATTTAACATCATATCTAGTTAATTATATTTATTAAATAAATATCTCAAAGTGATACCTATTTCTTTTGAGTTAATTTATTATTAGAATTTTTTTTTGAGAAAAGGCGAATATCCGTCCATAGTCCAACATATTGAAAACACATTTATCCCTGTTTTTGATGAAAATAATTTAGAATCTTAAGTTATTTTTTTGTTAAATTTTAATACTTTCTTCTCTCAATTTTCTAAAAACAATAAGTGACGCGTTTTAGAGGTAGAAAGATTTCAAAAAGCAACGTTTTTTTAGTCACCCGATATAAAGTAGCGATTCACCAATTATAAATTAACCCTAGCCATATATCTGATAGAGTAAGTAGTAATATACCGGGTAAGCTTATTCAAATGTTGAAGAGTATTTATCAACGTATAGCATAACACTCATCATTCCTTAAATAATTCAATATTTAAAAAAAAAAATCTTAATGAAATTTATTGATTTCCATAATACGCGAATACTAAGACACTCACTTTCGTTTATATTGTTTACAAAAATTTGCGAAAATAAAATGAGCGCACTAAGAGTTTTTATGATATAATTATTTTTAAAAAAATGGAACAGTTTTACATCTATTCAAACTTATCGACATCCAGCCTTTTAAATATGTAAAATAAGTATAGAATATACTTTACAGTTTTTAAAATGGGGGTAAAATGCTATATTTATAATTTATTAAGATAAGGCAAATCAAATATGATTTATTCAATGAACTGAAGCTGTAAATTCTAAAGTAAAAAAAAGAGATAGGATGTATAGATATAGATGTGGACTGTATTTTTTTTAGGTGATGATTTATATATAGCGCAAAACCGTTTATTTTTTTTATATATAAAAATATTAGATAATGTCACAAAAATCATTGTTTTCGAGTATCGTGGCACGCAAATTAGGGACCTTGATTGAGGAATCTCTATAAGGTTTGACCAGGAGTTCGTTTCCAGGTAGAGCATATTTATAAGACTAACCTAGGTATTTCCATGCTATGTGGTATGGAATAAAGTATATAATGTTGTTAAACGGCTTTCATCCAGAAAAATATTACGCAAGCCTGTAGATTTTGCTCACAGAAGAAACAAAGATCTAGACATATATTATTGAAATCTCGAGGCTTAGACAATATTTTTATGGCTAAAATTTTGAGTTAGTTTTAAAAAATCAGCCTCAAAATGAGCCTTACACTAATATAAATCCAAAGCATGATTTGGACTTAGTATTCATTAATTAATATATATTAAAAATATGTTTTATGGTTTTTGCATTTTCATAAAATTTAGGCATTGTTAATTTTTAAATGGTGACTGTTTTGTATTACCCCATTATTTTGTTTAAACTTTCTATTTTGACAGCAAATTTTAACAAAAAAAATACATTAAGTTTTTTTTTAAAAAAACACGAAAATGTTCTTTATATCCTCGTCAATAATTTGTTTTATATTAAAAACTTATTTGAACAAAATAAACTCAAATCAAACTAATCGAAACAAAAAAATTTTAAAAATAACGCACAAAAGACAAAGTTTAAAAAACAAATTTTTTTTTAATAGATTTTAACTAATAAATTCCCATAGGAATTTTACATTATTATAATGTAAAAATGTATTAAAGTTAACATTTGTTGTTATTAGAATTTTTTTTTTAATGTGAAATGTGAAATAATTTATATTATTTTTTGAATTGATTAACCAAGAACCTCAACCATGAAAAGTGACAAGAAAAGGCTCTTTTTTTTGAATTATACAAAAATGAAATGTTATAGAAGTTGCTGAATAATTAAAATATATAATATAAACTTTTTTAAAAAAAAAACAAAATACAATTGACAATGAACCTATAGCAATAATAATTTGAATTTAAATGATACTTTAATATAGTATATTTAAACATTTTTATATTATACGATATACAGTATACATTCGAAATACATTACATATTATATTTATATTAATATTTTAAAAAGAATTAGAATTTCAGATTTTTTGACGATAATCCAAGCCGGCTAACAAAATGGTCAAAGAGAGAGTTAGATAAGGGAGAAGGAAAAAATATTCGGAATCAAATTTGAACAATATTCATTTTTCTGTGAAAACCAACTTATAAAAATATAGATACAAATTTTATAATTTACAAACCATTTGGAAATTACTAGGAAACAAAGAATGAATGATCCAAGGAAATAAAATTTTATAATTTAGGGATATACGTTATGAAAGTAGCCCTTGACGTGCAGTTCTCGGTCCGATAGAACTCAGACCGGTTTGAACAGACAGTCTAGGGAATTTCTGGCGCCAAACCTCGCTCTTGTTCTATGCTTGTATGTAAATTCCAAAAAAACGGCAAATTTTTTTTCCCCCCTTCCTTCTATCGACTAATAATTTTTCAGCCTTTCTTGTAATAATACTTTATTCTTTGTTTGAATCCTAATATAGTTGTTATAAAATAATTTGAATTGAATTTCGACTTGTATTCCATAGAAGTAGTAGGATCGGAGAGATCAGACAATTTTTTTTATTCCGAATATATATGACATGAAAAAATAGGTAATATTCATGGCCATACTTTATACTCGAGTCTACAAATCACGGCCCGGCCCGTACCCTGCCAGAACGAGTTATGGGCCGGGCCGGAGTTGAAAAATTACGCCCCATGCAGATCACTACTTTATATCATCTAATATAATGTCTTGTAAATAAAATAGGTAAAACCGAACAAGGGCATCCAAATTCTATTAAATCATTAACTAGAAAGATGTAATTTTAATGGCTCACTTTAAAGCATAGAATCTTCCGTTTTTGCTTTAAAAAAATAATAAATTAGAAGCGAAAAATATTTTTTTAAAAAAATCAAATATTGTCAATAAAACTAATTTATGATTTTCAAATTGAAAACTTTTATATTTATTTAGATTGTAGATAACTCAATTATTGTGGGTTTGTAAATTTATGATATAATAAGTGATTGTTAAGTGTCGAGTATATTTCTTTTTAAATATAATTCTATGTCAAATGTAGTTATTTTTTACTTGTCTTGAATATTAAATTTCAATTTTTTTTAAAAAAAAATGATGTGTTTAATGGAATATAATTTTCATTTTTTAAAAAAAAATCATATTAAGGAATATAAATGACAATTAGTCTTACATAAATAAATCCGGATGTTTAAAATATCAACCTATGTATAATATTTTATTTTTTCTTGCATTTCCCCAATTCATTGGCTTTATTATTAGCATAAAATTTTATTTTTTGATTAGTATTAATTGTATGATTGATTTTATAAATTTGCTTTCACCTACCTAATTATACTAATGCAATAGTTATATAATCACTTTGATAAATTCGTTATAGCTTATATTTAGCTTACAAAACACAAATTAAAAATTATATATAAAAAACTTTAGGTTTTTAATTATTCATATGTGGTTATTGATTAATCTCATTGAAAAAAAAATATAATTTATTTTATAATAAGTTATAGTAATATTATTTGGGAAAATAATTAATTTCTGGGTTATAGAAAAAATAAAACGAAAAAATTATTTAAATTGAAAAAATAAAATTAAAATCTATAAATTTTTTTTTTACCATTATTACTTATAAATAATCATAAAAGGTACCTAAATTTTTATATTTTTAGATATATTAATATTTTAAAATCAATATCGAGACTGGTTAAAAATAAATTTTTGAATTATATATAATTTATAAAAGATGTTAGGTTTCTCATATGAAATTTTTATAAGTTTATAAATATTTTTTTCAGAGACCTGCATAGGTATCAATGGCACAGTCATGCCCAGATTTTTTAAAAATACATTACATTTATTTTTAATTTTCATAGCTAATAATTGCCATTTAAAATATTTGGTTCAAATATACGATTCGACCATGGTATATTTAAAAAATAGGACCGGGTCTGCAGGTTTCTGATTATTTTGTTTTTTTTCCTTTACGGTTATTGAAGGGGAAAAAAAATGGATGATAACCAATTTTATCTCTTTTGTTGAAAATTGTAATATCCAGTTTATGAATTTTGGGTGAATAGTTGGACCATATATACGGAGAGTTAAAGCAAGTTGAGACATTGTTTATTAAAATTTCCTAAGAATATTAAAATAATCTCTAAATATTAGTATTCAATATACTTATTTTAATCATATAAGTAGTCTTATTACTTATAATGGTTGTAATGGCTTTATCATACCAGCATAATTTTACCTTATTTATTTTTAGATCTTTCAATATTCCCCTTTTTACCTTATTTAAATTTAATGTCGAAAAAGTAGTCTTTCTTTAATATATTTGTTATATTTATGGGAATTTATGGTTAATAACTATTCTCTTTTTTTAGTCAGGAAGGTAGGCCGGCAGGAAGGAAGGAAGGAAGGTAGGAAGGAAGGAAGGAAGGAAGGAAGGAAGGAAGGAAGGAAGGAAGGAAGGAAGGAAGGAAGGAAGGAAGGAAGGAAGGAAGGAAGGAAGGAAGGAAGGAAGGAAGGAAGGAAGGAAGGAAGGAAGGAAGGAAGGAAGGAAGGAAGGAAGGAAGGAAGGAAGGAAGGAAGGAAGGAAGGAAGGAAGGAAGGAAGGAAGGAAGGAAGGAAGAAAGAAAGAAAGAAGGAAGAAAGAAAGAATTTTTCTAAAAGCATTTTTTGTTATATATATATACAATTTATTTTATCTATCAACTCTTTACTTGTAAATAAATAGCTCGAATCAATGCCGTTTTGCCTTGAAAGTCCTTGGCATCTACTATAGTACTTCTCCGACCACTATTGTAGTTATTTACGATTACATTTTCGGACTTGAGAACGGGGGTAACAAGACCATATTTTGATGTGTCTATTTTATTTGCACCTAAACTGTTATCCTTATTTAAGATCAAACTCGATTCATTTCCTATATTGGTCGTAGCTCCTAAGATAAATTTAGCCAGATGGGTCTTGCCATTGTTAATAGCTTCTAACAGAGCTAAACCGCCCGAAATTTGGCCTAAGCTTCTTCGCCTATTTCTGATTTTGATACTTTTCATATTATTATTTTTTCTTTTTACTAGAATATTTGTGTACAGTTGTAATTAATTTTGATCATTCAACCATTTTTTATATTATTATTATTATCAGGTAATTTTATTTGTCCTAATTATTTTTAATTAATCCGAATTGAGAGATGAATTCTTGCATCCAGGGATAGGAATTATTTTTCGACTAGACATCATTTCGTCGAAATCCTACAAAACTTTTTTTTTAATTAATAAGACTACGTGTAAAATAATTTTGTTTAATTTAATATTAAAAGATTATTTTGCTAATATGAAAAAGTATAGATTTATTTATTTTTAATTCATATTATTTCAAAATTTTATCTATTTTTTTTTCTTCTCTCTATTGTATAATAAAAAATAAATTATTTTTCTATCCAATTTGTAAAAAATATAAAAATTATATTATTTAGAATATTTTTAAATTTTCTTTTTAATAAAAAAAAATCCAATAATTATATATATATCTTTTTTTCAAAAAAAATTAATTTTTTTTTATATATTAAAACTATTTTATATTTTATAATTTAGTATATTTTTTCAATACTAAATCTTCTTTTTCAATTATAGCACCTAACAATATGAACAATTCAAAAAATAAATTGAAATTAAAATGTTTTTTTCCCATATAAGCTTCGTAAAAATATAGAATTTTTTTTTTTTGCGATAAACAAATTAATTATTATAGATAATTTAGGTAATAATTTAGATATAAAATAAATGATATATTGGCTTTCCTTTCACAATTAGATGATGAGGTATGGATAAAATAAAATAATTGATCAAATTAATTAGATCCCATTGAGCGATAGGATAATAATTATATCTTCAAAATATTGTAGTATATAGTCACTTTTAGATTGGCGATTTATACTTTTCCTTTCACAATTAGATGATGAGGTATGGATAAAATAAAATAATTGATCAAATTAATTAGATCCCATTGAGGGATTAGGATAATAATTATATCTTCAAAATATTGTAGTATATAGTCACTTTTAGATTGGCGATTTATACATTAAACGCATCTAAAAGTGTCCATACATAGGACTCATCTGTAACGTCATTTTGTGTTTGCACATCGGTTAAATTATAATGAAAAATAAAGATAATCAGTCGGCATGCAAAACATAAAATGGCGCAACAGCTGACTCTTATGTATAGAGACACTTTCAATCAATGAATCGCCATTCTAGTAGTATATATACAAATAGGGTATAGTAAGACTAGATTTCGATTCGAATTATGGAAAAATAAAACATTCGTCTGATTTTGAATTATTCCAAACGAGTAATAAGTGAATTATTTAATTCGGACCTATTAAAATAAATTTAATTTATAAACACCTAAATCACAAATATTTAAGACTACTGAAATTATCGTCGAAAGTTTTGAACGGCACCAAAAAAAACTAAATTATTCTAATAAAGAATTCAGAACATTTAGAAAATATATAAATAACAATTATTTCTGGCATATAGATAAATCCGAAATAACGGTAAGTTTTAACATAAAACCAATTTACTAAGCATTTACCTCAAAATAAAATATATTGGATTATATTATAAAAAGGAAAAAAGGCTATGATATGTTAGGTTCAATTTAAATTCAAATTTAAACCAGCAAAGCGAAATCGAACGGCTAATTATTTATGTCGTAATAAAAATAGATAAAACATTATATCGAATATTATTTGAAGATCTAATTTTATTAGGAATTTATACTCTTAATAATGAACAATAAAGGAATACGTATTTTTTATTTTAAATTTCTTTTTTTGCCCCCGTTAAAAAAAATCAATTATACTAAGCTTATATTGAAATTTTTCTTATATTTGTCTCAAAGATAAGCGCAGTATAAACTAGCAATTAGAGATCTGCAAAGTTAGGCCCGGCCCGTACTAGGCCCGAGTCCGGCCCGGCCCGAACGGGCTTCAGGCTCAGGCCTAATTCTATTTAAAAAAATTCGGGCCGGGTCGGGTCGGACCTTGGAAATTTTTTTAAATATATCTAAATTTATCAATTTTATATTGAATTTTTTATGTAAAATAAAAATATTTGATTTTATTTATTGAAATTAAACGACATATAACATATGTCTTTTATTTTGAGTAATTATAAAAATTAATTTCTATATTTAAATAAATTCGGGCCGGGCCGGATGGGTAAATTTTTTTAAAAAAAATTTCGGATTCGTGCCGGGCCGGCAAAATCTTTTAAAAAAAAATTCGGGTTCGGGCCGGGCCGGGCTTGAAAAATTAGGCCCGATGCAGATCATTATCAATATCATTTTAAATTATAACATAAATTAGTGAAGGTTGCGATCCCTGGTCCCAACCAAACCAATGTACACGGACAGGGCATGACCACGGTTCTTATAATAGAATACCAGTCCAAGACCGGGCTTAATTTTTTTCTGTTATTTTAAAAAATATTTTCGTTTATGCTAAATTTAATTCTTGTTTTATCATTTTATTAAATATAAAAGTATTTATGTTTAACAATATCAAATCAAATATGAATAATATGATAAATATTACAAATATTTAATTTAAAATTATAATGCTTTTTTGACAAGCTTTTCGTTTTCACGCTATATTGCAAAATAAAAATGAACTAAAACAGATAAAGAATTATAAAAACTAAAGTAACTACACTATAAAAAGTAATGTAAAATAAAATATACACAAAAATTTAATAAAAAAAATGTATAAAATGAATAGTAAAGCAAAATATCAAGGCTCAACTCATTTAAAAATGCCGTCTGATTCAGGTCTAAGAGATGGATAGGACCGGAACGTTATTTTTTTAATATGAGTTATGATTGAAAAAATGCGCAATTATTTTTAAAAATAACACATTCACGAACAAATTATAGGATAATTTCTTATTTTGTTTACAAATCATAATATAATATCATCATAATCTAGGGAAGATGCAATGACATTTTCGATGAAAATTGGGAAAAGATAAGGGATCCTATTTAGTACAGAATCTCTGGATCTTAGATAACTTAAGCTTTTTAAAAAAAGCTAAACCTGTCAGAATTCATGATTAGGGTGCTTCTAAATTGTTGGCCCGCTTCGCTTGCTAAATCAATTTTTTAAAACTCCAATATACTTCATTTTTCTGCATTAATGGAATGAAAACCTATAGAGAGCATTAAATTGTAAAATATAAACTAAGATAATGTGTCTCAAAAAATGTCGCCTGGTTTTAAACCAAGTAAAATGGATTGGTATATTATTATTTATGATAATTTATTATATATACATTAATTAATGATAATTATCAAAATAATTAAATATAGTACTACTTGAACAAATATTTATTAAAGAATTAAAAGCTTTTTTTCTTTAAAATTTTAATGTACATATTATTTATATGAAAAATACAAATTTTTAAATTATAATATATATCTTAAAACATAAAAACATTTTTTTAATACCATGGTAGTAAAAGTGTAGATTTATTAAATGTTCACTATTTTTTTTCTGATTATTGTTAGTTAAAAAATACTAATAATAACCTATAGGATATCAGAAGCTGGCTGACTGTTTTAGAAATGATACTTTTACATTTTAAATCTTAATATTAAAGTATCAACCGAGGCTTATTTTATTATTTAACAGTGTAAATGTATCTAGATTGGAAAGTCATTTAGACTAATTATATTAATATAAACTTAATATTTCGTTCCAAAATATTTATTGTTATAAAATTATTTAAAAATTTATTAGGTAGGTAATCAATAAATATAGGTTTTATAAAATTAGAAATATTGAAATTTTCAAAAACCTTATTAAATTATTTAAAAATGGGTAATATACTGGAAATATTTGAATTAAAACTTTTTAATCAATCATCAATATATTGAGTGATTACATGAATTCATTATGACACATTATATATAAACGAAATAATTTAATATATGAGCAATAAAAATAAAGTGAAGGTAACATAATAATGTAATAACTAATACCTATATAAGAAATAATAATATACCAATTCAAATGGTTCAAATCCAAGGCCAAAAAAAAGACAATAACATTTTCTCATAAACGTACAAATTATAGTTAAATTTATTTAAATCAACTTGTATGATATGCAAAATAATATATATAACTATTTAGGGATTATACTAAATTTTAATTAGACCTATATATCTATTTATGTGGGGATGAACATATCCAATCCTTGATTGATTTATCCATAACCAATGAACGGGGTTTAGTAAACTGATGGATATCATGGCCCGAAAATAAACGACGGAGCGTGATACGTCAGTAGCAATCTATAGAGTATATTAACTCAAATCATTTTTTTTTATGTATTTCATTTTATTGATCAAAAAGAGAAAAGTAAGGAATATGCTTAAAGTAATTCCATAATAATATTTAATTTAACTCAAATAAAGATTTGGAAAAGATATATGTATAAAATATTATTTTCTAGAAATAATAACCATAGATATTTTTAAAGATGCATATAGTTTTAATGTTAAAGTTAAAAACTGAGAGTTTACATTGATAAATAATCTTGACAAAATGAGTTTAAGTTATGAGATAAAATATCGTTTAAATATTCGAATAGAAAACGATTATAATTTTGAAACTTGAAAGTCAAATAAAGCAGTGAAGTTATAATATTTACTTATAATTCGTTGGTAACTCATATCATGTGGAGTAGAACAATGGTTATTTTTGTGAAAAACAAACTTAATCGTATATAATGAGAGAAAAAAAAATGCTTTTAATTTTTCCAAAATATTGTTTGATCATTAATATTGGGTATGATTAAAAATCCTCTTATAATTAGGAATAGTTATTTATATAGAATTATCAATTATCAAATATATGATTTTATCTTAATGGTCTTCAAGATAATAATTTTGTAATTTATATTAACTAATCTCATTAAATCTTCTTTGATCAAAGGGGACTGGTGTATAATTTTATAGGAAAATTAAAACTCGTTCCCAAATACTCAATAATTTTTTACAGAGGCCAAACCTTATTTAGGATGACAGAGATATATGGAAACGGCATAGAATAACATAGTACAAACTCAGCGGAACAAAACAGACAACGTTCAACTGCTATAATAAGTAAAGGCATTTTTTCTCATATATTCTTTCCAGCATTGAAAAATTCTCTTACGATATCAGTACCAGTTTCCCTCTTTAAAATTCCGATTAAATTCAATGAAGGCATTATAAAATCGTACATAAATATAGAAGAGGAAAAGTTTTAAATTTAAATTGCTATAATCATCATTTT